ACAGCCGCAGGGTCCTCAGCGGCTCTGCTGGATCCCCCCCAGTGCCCCCCTGGGTCTGTGCCTCAGGGCTCGAGCCCTCAGGGGCACCCCTTCGTACCCCAGAGTGCCCTCACCTTGATGGTGTCCAGTGCCAGCTCCACCACTGCGCATTGCTTTGGGGTCAGGCTCTTGGCTTCCTCACGCACCATGTGGTCCTGCAGGGCACGAATCCTGCTCTCAGCATGGGACCAGGGCCCTGCTCCCCTCGCCCCAGCTGTGCCAGCAAATTGCCACCCACCCTAGCACAGAGAGGAGCTCAGACCACCCGGCCCCCCCCAGCCCAGCCTCCCAGCCCTCACCTTCAGCTTGGAGAGCTGCCCCAGCTCCTTGGCTGCATTGAAAATCATCTGTGTGCCCTGCAGAGAGCAAAGAGACAGGAATGGCCCCGGTGAGCAGCCGAGCTGGGGGTGCCATGGCCAGGCTGGGCACGCGGTGCCAGGAGCTTGCTGCAGCTCCAGGGGCTCCCCCGGCCCCCCAGGCTCCAGGGGGCCAGAGGGGTGCTCCTCAGAGAGCCCCAGGGGCCACCGGCCATGCCAGGCATGGTGATGCAGGTGCGGGGAGCTGGTGCAGCCCCCGTCCCAGCCCCGCAGTTCTCAGCACGTGTGTGTCTGGGGGCTTGGGGACCCCAGGGCAGGACATCACCCTGGCATCAGGGACCTCACACCCTGCTCAGCACGAGCAGCTTGGCCTAAGGGTCCCATCCTGCTCCCTGTGGTGCCCAAGAACCCGCTTCTGCATCCAACAGAGCCCGGCACGGCACATCACTGGCACCACATGGACAATTGTACGACATCGGGGCGGGGAGAGCAGAGAGCAAGTGCAGGGGGACAGCAGGCACGGGGAGGATGTGGCATGGTCCCCCTGTATCCCACAGTGCTGGCAGCCAAGCCAAACACCCCCCTGCCACCCGGACCCCTGCACAATCCCAGCCCTAGGGAGGTTCCCAGCCCCTTTGCACCCCAGGGAACACCATGGATGGGAACCCCTGGCTACCTTTGCCTGCCCTGTGCCGTGCCACCCCCACGGGCAGGCGCCGTGAAGCCATTCCGTGGGGCCCACTGGCACGGTTCCTGGCAACACAGCCCCATGGCATGGGCAGATCCTGCTCACCTCCCTGGTCTGGCACCCGCTCACTGGGCTGAGCGCAAGCTCCCCTTCTCAAGCCCTCCAGTGTGCAACATGCAACTGGGTAAACCGGGGCCCAGTGGGGCAGAGCCAGTGATTCCCACCTCCTTCCCCCTCCCAGCACCAGTAGCTCCAGTCCTTCCCAACAATGAGAAACCCCAGCATCTATCCCACTAACCATTACCTTCTGCGGGGATCTGGCCCCCCTCACGTCCTCATTTTGCA